AAGCATGAGTCTATAGCGGTGTTTGTATAAAAACACCACTAAAGCACGAGTCTATAACGGCATTTGTAAAAAAATGCCACTAAAGTATAGTCTTTAGCGGCATTTGTATAAAAATGCTACTAAAGTACAAGTATTTAGCAGCATTTATTCTAAAAAAACCAATAAAGTATAGTTTTTGGCGGTGTTTTTATAAAAGCGCCACTAAAATACGAGTATTCGGCGTTTGTTTTAAAAACGCCGCTAAAAATATCGCTATAAACCCATTTTGTAGTGAATTTTACATCTAGATTTAGATATTGAAAGAATAACATAAAGTTATTAGATTTTAATTTCCAAAAGATTGAATTAAAATATTTTGATATACAATAATCTTACAATATTTCTTAATCTGTAGATGATAATGTGATGTATGCTTATAGATTTGTCGGTGTACGTATCAAAAGCAAAATGACCGATCAGTGCGAAATTAAAATAATTGTAAAACTTGATAAGCTCAGCTGATTTGTACAACTGTTATTTCCGGTACGTTTCCCATTTATATAAGAGGCGTGCAAAGATAGAAACTAGTTGTGCGCCATGATTATGCCCTCCACGTTTATCCTATCGACCGTTAATTTGTAGGTTTATATATATATATATATATATATATATATATATATATATATATATATAATTACCATTGATCGACTATTTTGGATTGAATATTATAGAGATGATGACGACTCGCTCGATTCACAAAGGTCAGGATTCAAACCTCTCACCTTGCTTGAGGAATCTTGTGTCTCATCCCACTAGACCAAATGGTTATAAGTAATTTGTATGTTTGTATATATACATTTGTTATAACGGTTAAAACTAGGATAAATTATTATAGGGTAAACTATGTATTTTGTCACTAAACTATTCTCGTGATCTCGTTTTGATAATTTAACTAACTTTTTTAATAACCACTAAACTTACGTTTTTATTTCGTTTTGATCACCAACTGTAAAAAAAATAAACAGAACTCTTGATAATTAACATGACATTTTTATTTTTCATCAATGATGTGACATTATCTTATGTTGACATGTCACTATTACCATTAATATTTTAACGACGAGTAACTAAAACATAACAAAAACGTAAATTTAGTGATGATTTTAGAAAAACAATAGCTGGATGACTAAAATAGAACCGTGTGAATAGTTGAATGACTAAATATGTATTTTACCATTAATATGGTAATTTAAACTTTAGTTTAAATATATAAGAGGGGACTGAATTATAACTAAATGATTATTTTAATTATTATTTTTTAAAAGAAATAAATCATTATTAAATTTATAGAACTATCATAAAATAATTATGGAGATGTTATAAAAATTATAGAATTTTGATAAATTTAATTATCATTTTAGAACACTTTGATAAATTTTAATTAATATTTTATAAATTGGATAAACTTTAATAATTATTGATACTAGTTTAAGAAATTTAATAATCATTATATAACTTTTAGTTGAAACTTTAAAAGGAGAAATGAAATGACATATTACATATATTTTTTATATTTCTTAAAGTAGATGTTGTTTAACTTGTATAATATCAAATTCATTAATAATTTGAATAATAATATCGATTGTTTCTCTATATCCATGTGAAAGGGTGTATAAATTATAAACCGATCTTTCATTGATTCTTTATGCAATTAAAATAGATTTAATATTGATATCTATTAATTAGTCAAGTGGTTACAAATATTCATATTATTTTATCTTGTGTGGATTTGAATCTTGCTGTCTATCTTAATATTATAATATCTCTTTACTTAATAAAAGAAATAGATTTAACATTAACAATTTGATCAGTTGTGCTTGAAAGTAGGGGTGACCAAAATTTGAATCGATTCGAAAAGTTAAAATTTTCAACTCGACTCGAATTGACTTTGATTTGTAATTTCATAAACTCAACTTGACTCAAAAACATTTTAAATTCAAATCGATTTGAGAAATACAACTTGAATAGTAACTCGAAATTTTTAGTAATTAGTTAATTAATTTTCAAATTTGAGTCGAGTCTCCCGATTATATATGATACATGTATATTACATATGGAAGAAATACGAAGATATATATATATATATATATATATATATATATATATATATATATCAACTTAAATTGGAATCAATAATATAAATATTTACGATTAAATTTAAACAAAAATTTAAAAATTTGATTCGACTCGAAAAAATTTCAAATCAACTTTGAGTTATAAAGTAAGACTCATTAACTCGAATAACTTAAATTTTTTATTCAAATCGACTTTATCGAACGCTCATCTCTACCTAAAAGTAATTAATTAAGCATGTAGTAAAATTGTCAGATATTTAATATATAAACAAGAAGAGTTTAGTATAATAATAATAATAAAGATAAGATTTTATATTAATTTTGGTTTGCCTGCCAAACCTTCCAACTTAATGATGAAGAAAGAACTAAAAGGACAAGTATACATGTGAAAACCATAGAATCCACCAAAGAATCGTACGCGTGTCGGCAATAAAACTCTTCAGCCAATCAGAAAACATAGACGCGTAGAAAAAGTAAAACAAGTGTACGGCCAGGGTTTTAATAAATAACATGCCGTATACCTATACGTCACACATAGTACTGTGGTTTCCACTCCCCACTCTGAAAATCCTAGGATATATTTCCCTTACTCCCTCGAATACACTGTTTTGGTACTCGCTCCCTTGTAGCGACACCTGTTCATATGGAATCTTTTCTCTTCCGACTACAACTTTGTTTAAGGTTAATAATAATAAAAAAAATTTGTTTTAGGGTAAACTATATATTTAGTTGCCCATCTATTCATACGATTTTGTTTTGGTTATTTAATTATTCTTTTAAATTATACCTAACATTATATTTTTATTTCATTTTAGCTACGTGCGTTAAAAATAGGTAAACTGTATTTAGTCACTTAACTATCACTTTGGTTCTATTTGGGTTACCCAACTATTTTTTTTAAATCATTACTAATGTTACGATACATGCACGAAAAGGCTCACATCAAAGGAAGACGGACTAACTCTTTCAATCGATCCACATATCCAAGCCTTGGAAAAGAAGACCATAACAATAACAGACTTGCGACAACTTTTTGAAGGGGATCCAAGTGTTATTTGGTTGACATGTCTTATGGAGATACGATCGACCATCTCTTAGCTTTCTAACGGTACTTGAATCGCTTCAATCCGATGTCGAAAACTCGAGATATGTCTATTTTAGCGAAGACATCGCATGTGAAAATTCTTATATATGATTAATACGAGATTTTATAAATATTACGAATTTTCAATATTTTATTGATTATTTATAATATAATTTAATATAGGATGATGCATTATCTTTTAGGTTAGATTTATTATTTTTTTTAGAAATTAAAATTGAGTTATCTTTTGTTTATTATTATTTTATTCATTAAGTTACTTAGAATTTTGGAACTCCTCCCTTATATAAAGGAGGCAACATGAGTATGTTTTTGCAAGTGCTGATAGCATTGTACCTTTGAAGCATTCTTCATCATAAAGTTCTTTAAGTTCTTCGTGAGGAGATCTTGACATTCTGGTTTGCCTTTCCAATTCAGTTAGGAGGTTGGTTAGAGTTTATTATAGAATTTTCCTAGTCAATTGCGGCTAGGAGGGTTCTTAGGACATCTATCTATCTATCATTCATCATCATCATCACCATAGCTATCATTCACAACAACTTCATACATACCAGGGGCAATTTCAATTTGATTTCTTTCATAGCTTTTTCTATCGTATATATAGTTGTTATATATTATTCATCATCTGTCTAATATTCATCATCTTTTTTGATTTTCCAGCAACTTCTTTCAAGAAACCTAAATTGGCGTCAAACCTCTTCTCATGCCAATCTATTTCTTTGTTTGAGTTTAGAACCTTAGGCTTGATTCCTTCAACTACGAGCAATGTTCAACAAATCCTCTACCATCCCCTATCATGTTACATTTTAGTTTCATTTTAGTTACTCGTCGTTAAAAAAATTAATGATGATGTCGATGTGTCATCATAAGATAATATCAAATCATTATTTTAAAAAATGTCATGTAAATAATTCTATTATTTTTTAATGGCGGGTGACCAAAACGAAACCAAACCATATTAGTGATTATTTTGAAAAACAAAATAGTTGTATGACCAAAACAAAACCAAAGTGATAGTTGAGTGATTAAATATGTAGTTTACTGGAAAAAGTAAACAACTTTTGGTGTGGTAATTTTTTTTATTTTTTTAATGATGATTTGACAATTATCTTATGATGATATATTATCATAATGGTTAATTTTTAAAAAACGGGTGACTAAAACATTAATTTTAGTAAGATTTTGAAGAAAACAATAATTGTATGACCAAAATGAAACCACAAGAATAAGTGGGTGACTATATACGTAGTTTACCTCTTTTTTTATTCACCCAACAGATGTCACCCTGAAATGAGCGAGTAGCCAAATGTATAGCCACCGACGCGAGTAGACTAAATGTCCTACATGTGAGTTCCACATTGAAAACTGCTAAAGCGGTATTGAGCTCCATGTTTTGTGACCCTAAGAAGAGAGGTTTTAACCTTTAAGATCAGAAAAACCGCTTTTGAAAAGACTTATTGATTTTCTATAAAGTTTTCTCCAGAAAAGAAGAAGAAAAGACTTGCCTCTCTTCGTTTCACTCACTCTTCTCCATAATTAGCTTTAAAACAAGTAAGCTTTTTGTCCTTTATTATTATTTCTCCGCAAATCAATTCATGATCCCCTTTTTCGACTTTGATTTGATTTTAACACTTTTACTGTGTAATTATACCTCTTCGTCTTGATTTTATCCCTGGTTTCGACGTTGATTTGATGAGTTTAAGTGTTTAACCGGAAAAAAAATCCCTAACTATACTTACCGGAAAAAACCTAGGAATAGAGAAGAGGAATCAAATCCCTAATCGATGGGAAGAGGGAAGATCGCGATCCGACGAATAGAGAATACAACGAGCAGGCAAGTGACTTTCTCAAAGAGAAGGGTTGGGTTACTGAAAAAAGCAAGGGAATTATCCATCCTTTGCGATGCTGAAGTCGGATTGATCATCTTCTCCAACACTGCCAAGCTCTACGATTATGCCAACTCCAGGTCAGATCCATTTTCTCTTCTTCCTATTATCGTTCTTTTTTAATCATTCTATTTGTTTTACAATTTATTTATTTATTTATTTATTTATTTTCTGAGAAAATATACCAGTGTTTCAGATTTACAAAGAGATAACCATTATAATTATACTAACAATAGGGATAGAGCTAGTAATCATGTAGGACGATGAAGGTGTGCCCTCCATTGTTGTTAACATGCACGTAAAGTTTGCAAGTTTTAAGATTCAAAAAACCTTGAAGAAATTGCATGTAGGATATAAGTGGTTCATCTCCACTTAATCTTTTATTGCTTCATAAACCTAAAAACAATGGGAATCCAAACCAAAACTTTTGGTAACACAATTACACATATCCTCAATTAAAAGAGTTGCAAATGAATATAATTATACATATATTTAATGTTCATTCATGAATTGAACAAACGATATCAATGTTGCAAGATTTAATCGTGTTTTGAATAGTTACTTATTTTGTCGATGGTGTCAATTCTCAAATTTTATTTATATTTATCTCGTTCAAAAAATTTATATTATTAACATATGTGTACACACCCTCAAAAATATTTATGAATTGGTCAATATCATCAACTAAGTGAAGTGATAAATGATTTGTATTTTTTATTTCTTATATATAGATTTTGGATTTGAATATCCACGTTAATAAAAATTATTGCAATGTTTTTTTGGGCTATTACTTTGTACCTTTCATTACCTGGTACTTTATATATATATTTCATCTATCTATAAGCCTAAGTTACCTGGTACTTTAAGTTGGTTAATTTGATTAAAATTGAAGTTTAAACAATCTTAAGATGGAAAATTCTACAATACATGCCATATACAGAAATGTACCACAAATTTTAAAGGTAAATTTTTTAAATGGTCATTCAACTATACTAAAATACTCCTTTTGAACATTGAACTTTAAAAGTTACATAATATCTCATTCAATCAATCCCTCAATTGTATTACAAAATGAATATCGCATCTTTAATTATCATTAAAAGGATAACTTAACATGTTAAATTAATTAAAAAAATCTCATTCAACCCTCAATTATATATTAAATTTTATTTTGATATTTTTCAATATTTTAAAATAATAATTCTAAAAAATAAATTATATATATATATATATATATATATATATATATATATAAATTTATGATTCATATTTAAAATTATAAAAGTATTTTTTAAAAATTATAACTTTATAATTAATCTTTTAATTCATGAAATTATAATTATTATTTTAAAAAATATGAATTTATTAATTCACAAAAAATTTATAATTATTATTTTTATTTAGTTGTGGTTACATTTGAAAATTTATAATTTTTGAAATCCAATAACTTTGGTTATACAAATTAAATCATTTTTTATTAAACAATGTGATTCAATTCTTTAACCTTTTTTAGTAGTTTTAAATATAATTTTAAAAATATATTTAAAATTTTGAAAATAAATTTTGAAAATCCATATATTTAAAAATATTTTTCTAAAATTTTGGAATTATTACTTAAAATTATTGAAAAATATCAAAAATAAAATTTTAGTCACAATTGATGGAGCAAATGAGATTTTATTTATTTATTTAATATGTCACATTTGCTCTTAACGATAGTCAAGTTTCAATACTCATTTTTAATGAAATCTAAAATTTCATATTCATTTTATAATTTTTTAAAATTTGAATGACCAAAATGATCATTTTATCATAGTTTAATAACTATTTATAAATTTATACCGATATATATCGGTGTGTGGCATGTGTTGTAGACTCATCCCTCTTAAGACTAAATAATGTATATTAAAAATTAAAATTTTTGGTAATTCGGTTAACTGACCAATTTCGAACCAAATTAACTGATAATTGAAGTTTAAAAAAATCATTAACCGTTAATGGATCTAACCTAAAATTAACAAAAAAAACTTTGATTCGATTGATTAAATCGGTTATAACCAAAATTTGAACACTCATAGTTCCATCAAAAATCCAAAAAACAAATTAAAACACCATAGGAATTAAAGCGACACACTAGAATCAAGGGGAGATTCATAAGATAAAAAAGAATTATTACAAAATCAGTATAGATTTTCAATTATAAAATATTTTTAATTTATATAATTTTTTTGTTAATATTAATAAAAGTTATAAGGTTATATGAAGTAGATTGGACTTTAAACAAGCAAAATATGTTTCTGTCATCCTAGCTTGATTTGATTCTACGATGAACAATTTGGGTATGAAAATCTTAAATTTAGATATTATATGTGATATTAATATTACAAACAATATATAATTCTTTATAACGAAATAAAAATGTTTAATTTTTTATATGAATTAGAGTATCATTATTGAAAAATTCTACGGTACTAAATTCAACAATTAATATATATATATATATTATTTTTGAAATGATTACAAGATAATATCTGCTTAGAATACTCTCAATCATTTAACGATGGACATTTAAAAATCCCTGTAAGTGTTGTGCTCGAACATGAGATTTCTAGGGATATCAATCATCTCTTAACCACGAAGATTACTTGATTCATATAATATATAAATTATTTTACTTGCAGTAAAAATGAAAACTTTGTATTATATATTGAAATGATTTAAAATTTTATTACTATTAAGAGCCATTTAATTGATTGAGAATGTGATACAAATATATTGAAATGATTTATACTGATAAAGATATAAATTATGTGATGGGAAGAATTACATTAATATAACTTTTGAGTTGCAGCACCGAACCTTCGCTATACGCATCATTTCAAATATACCTGCTTGAGGTTGATGAATTGATGCATTGTTTTCTCCATCCTTCAGGAACAAGTGGAACGTGCCTTTGCATAATCATGGATGAGTATTCGATCGAGTCGAGTTAAAAGTTTCGATTTAGTCGAGTTGTCGGGTCATATTTTATAACTCAAACTTTATTTGATACTTTTTCAAGTAGAGTTGTTAGATTTTTAAAAAAAAATTAGTTGTAAATATTCATAATATTATGAAATTAATTGATTTCAATTTAAACATATATATATATATATATATATATATATATATATCATAAAAGATTGAGGGACTTGATTCAAACTTAAAAATCAATCCTAATTACTAAAAAATTTGAGTTATTAGAACTCTGTTTTATAACTCAAACCTTATTTGATTTTTTTCCAAGTTGAATTGAGTTTATAGAATTACGAGTCAAATCAATTTAAATCAATTTTTTTTAACATTGAGTCAAGCAAAAAGAAATAATATCTTTTGAATTAAATCGAATTTTGTTTACCCCTATGCATAACATCAAGTTATATCTTGTAATTTCCATTTTCCTTTTTTAACATTTATGTTCAATACATATTTGAGCATGAAAATGAAGGATTGATCCTGAAAATGCATAAAAAACTATATAAATATTTTTTTGTTACTAATTAAAAGATCTCATTTTAATTGTTAACTAAAACATACACACAAATAACATTATAATTTTTTTTTGTGTATTTATTTTATCAAGGTAGTATCACTTAACTCTTAACACTAAAGTAAAAGATAGGTGTTGTCTAAGTAATTGAAATAAAATTAAGATAAAATGATAAATACATTTTAAGATGATAAATTAGTATAAAAAGTTACCTGTATATTAGAGCAAAAAGTGTTCAAACTTGTTTTATATAACAGACTAACTTGGTATGCTGAAAATTTTCTCTATTTCCGAGATGTATTAAATGGTTGTGAAACCAATACTTTCAAAATTTTGATTTTATCACCGGTATCTTATTCATTGATCAACTATTCTAGATTTGATTTTACATAAGCCCACTATAGGATGACCCTCTTAACTCAATTTACTTCATTCGAAACGTCAAAATTCAAATTCCTGGTCTTATTTAAGGAATCTAATGTCTCATCCCACTAAACCAACTATTCGTTAGTGAAACCAATACTTTCATTTGATACATCATTATTTATTTTCAAAAATTGTTACTTCACCTTTATCTTTTGTGTCCAATTTTGCAAATATTCGTTATACTATCCATTTTTTCGCTTCAAAGTCTAAGTGATCGACCATTATCTTTTTTTAAACCAAATATAATTTTCAGTACTTTTAGAGAATATTACTCAACCTTTTATCTTTTTTGGTCAATTTCTGCAAATAGTCCTTATACAATAACTTAGACTTTGCTAAACTCTTGCAGACAAGAATTCTAACAAATTATTTTCCATCACGGGGTGGAATGTAATCAAATTATTTTTTATATAAGCAGAATTATTAACCATCTCTGTAACTGTAAATGGTAAAAGTTAAAGTTAGTTGATACTGATTTATCCAAAGCCAACTTTAAAAATTGTAAAAAAACTCACTTTCTTCACCTTTTTATTAATTGAGTTGACAAATCATGGATTTAGCGTTTGCTAAAAAATATTAGTTTCATCTTCTAAGTATTATAATCAAAGGAATAATGGAAAGACATTGTTGAGAATAGTTGATAATAATAGTTAGGTGATTTAGGTTGGTTGGGCCACACCTTGTTGATGAAGGATGGCGACAACTTAATTATGAATATAGGAAGGAAAGAAAGCAACCTGCAGCAAGTGAATAGCTACAAAGAGATGGGTTAGGTAGGTAGATGTAATGGTTGAAGGGCGGGTTAGAAAGTTAATTAAGAAAAGAATGAAATGATGAAAGAGTGGGCTGTTTTGATGATGTTTAGGCGTGGTGATGGGCTAACAATAGAAGGATGGTTTGATGATGATAATATCGTAAAGAAGACTCATGGAAGAACATAGGTTATATGAAGCCTAAACCCGAACCTTATGTTGCTTCTTTAAGGGGTAGTAACAAGGACTTGGACTCGTTATCTATGAAGAGATAGGAAACACAATGATTAAGGTGGAAATAAGAAGGGTTGACACCACAAGTATTACTACTTGATAAGTCGATAAAGTCACAAAGGACTATAAAGAGAGAAAA